GGACATGATGAATCTGAAGATTCAAACAACCAAGGAAACTTTCTTGAACTACTACATTGGTTGTGTGATCATAATGCTGAGATTAAGGCCGTTGCTTTGACGAATGCACCTGAGAATTTCAAATTAACATCACCACGAGTGCAAAAAGAGATTGTGAGTGCTATTGCTTCTGAATGTCTAAATGTGATTATGAAAGATGTTCGTGATAGTTTCTTTTCAATTTTAATTGATGAATCTCGAGACATTTCAGTTAAGGAGCAAATGTCGATTGTTATTCGTTATGTGAATAATGGGCAAGTATTGGAATATTTTGTTGGTTTCCAGCATGTTTCGAGTACCACAGCTATCTCACTTAAGGGTACAATTGATCAATTCTTCTCAACTCATAGCTTAAGTATATCTAATTTGTGAGGTCAAGGATATGTTGGAGCTAGTAACATGGGAGGTGAGTATAATGGCCTCAAAGCACTTATTTTGAAAGAAAACCCAAGTGCATACTATATTCATTGTTTCGCTCATCAACTTTAATTAGCTCTTGTACTGTGGCACAGAAACATCCAAAGATTGAAACTTTTTTTACTACGGTACACAAATTGGTGAATGTTGTTGGTGGATCGGCTAAACGGAGTGATCTTATTCGAGAGAAGCAAATGTTGAAAGTTCTTGAATCACTCAGTATTGGTGAATTATCAAGTGGACGAGGTCTCAATCAAGAAACTGCTCTTCAACGTCCTGGTGATACACGTTGGGGCTCTCACTATGGTTGTTTAATTAACTTGATTGTCATGTTTTCTACCATGGTCGACGTTGTTGAGATGATTGCAACTGACACTACAAGTACCGGAACAAGAGGTGATGCTTGTATTTCACTTGAGTTGATGTTAAAATTTGAATTTGCATTTAATCTACATCTCATGAAGGGGATTTTGGGGATTTCTAATGAATTGTCGAAGTCATTACAACGAAAAGATCAAGATATTGTCAATGCCATGAGATTGGTGCAATTATGTAAAGTACGTCTCCAAAAGCTGAGGGATGATGGATGAGAGTCTTTTTTTGAAATTGTTTGTTTGTTTTGTGAAGCTCACGAGATCAATGTTCCCAATATGGATGATATGTTCATAACTATAGGTCGTTCACGGCGTGAGACAGTGACAAATTTGCATCATTATCGGGTGAAAATGTTTTATGCTATCATTGATATGCAATTTCAGGAGTTGAATGATCGTTTTTCTGAGATAAATAGTGACTTGCTCATTTGTGTTGCGTGTTTGTCTCCAAATAACTCATTTGATGCTTTTGATAAGAACAAAGTGATTCGATTATGTCAGTATTATCTGGCAGATTTTGACACAACAGATAACTCAGAACTTGATGATCAATTAGATACATATGTTCTTGACATGCGCACTTCTGAAGATTTTGAAGGATTACAAAGCATTAGTGATCTTGCACAGAAGTTGGTTGCGAAAAATAAACATGAAATGTATCCATTAGTCTACAAGCTTGTGACATTAACCTTAGTTCTTCCCGTGACTACTGTTATAGTCGAGAGATCATTTTCTGCGATGACTTTTGTCAAAAATCGCTTGCGCAATCGAATTGGAGATCAATGGTTGAATGATAATTTGATTGCATATATTGAGAAAGATGCATTTGACAAGATTGAAAATGATGTAATTATGGAACGTTATCAAAATATGAGAACGCGTAGACAACAATTGTAATAAAATATCTCTTACTTTAATTTTTTCGTTACTTTTTCAAAATTTGATTGTGCCCCCCCAACATAAAAAGTCTGTGTCCACCCTTGTCTGTACTAGCACTAAACAAATTGTCTTCATGGCTTGGAGATCGACTATATATAATAGTGGACCTGTGGAGCGTTTCGAATGATGCCTTTTGAATAGTAGTTATACAATCGGTGGGATCAATTTTTGTGCAGGCATTCCATAGAATTGCAACTGAAACATCTTTGCAGTGGAAATTTTCGTGAGCTAGGACCGTTATCTGACTTCTGCCTTTCAGATATAAAGCAGAGAGTCTTCGCTTGTACTTATGACATATTTTCCATCTGAACTGAACGAAGCAGAATTTGATTGCTGGTATTCCGAATTCCTGTTACGTTATAATGTACTTATTATGTTACTCATGCACATGTTCTAAGATTCCGCAAAACATTGAAGCATTTCATCTAAATTTTTGGATTAGCTGTGATCCATTGAAGACATGAATCAGAGAATCAGCAGATGTAACTAGGGATGGCAACGGCTCTAAGAAATTCCCCATCCCGTTACCCGTTTAAGGCGGGGCGGGAGTAGTTCATTTCCTCGTTTAAATTTTTTTTTTTTTAAGTTTTTGATAATTTACTTTTATTGCACATATTCATTAGATTTAAACAAATAATTTTAGTTGCTATTTTCTATTAGAACTAATGAAAATTTCCATTTAAAGTATTGAATTCTAAAAAAAATAAAAAAAATTAACGGGACGGGGCCCCTGTTTCCCGTCCCGCCCCGTTCGGGGCGGGGCCCTGTGCGTATCGAATTTTTTTTGCCATCACTAAATGTAACGAGGATTTCAGACGGGTTCCAAGGGGAAAACTGTGAACGGACAAATTTAGTTACTTCTTGGCAAGTTTCTGAAAGACTAGGCTGGAAGCAAAATTACCTGGAAACCTGTGATTTTTTTTGGATTGTAGCTTTTTCTTGAACTGGACAACATATTGATCTTTTTTTCTCCAATTTGCAATCTAAAAACTGCAAAATAATTTGATCATTAACCCGGATATTGACAATACGATCAGAGATAATGAAGTTCAATAGCTATTCGTACCATAAATACACTATATTTATGTGAACCAGTAACAACACCCTTCAACAATGAAAAAAATTGATGTCGGTATAAGATATTTACTTTAATGCTTAGTTGAATCCTCCTAAGCATGGATTTAAAAGTCTTCCATGAGAGCCATACCTTACCATCAAGTGTGTAGCAAAGTGCAGTAACCATTTCATGAAGGTCAGTCCAGTCGACAACATGCCTATCCGGTATGCTCCATACTCGAACTTTTCCATCATGCAAAGCATGGATTTAAAAGTCTTCCACGAGAGTCATACCTTACCGTGAGGAGTGTAGCAAGCTGAAGTAACAATTTCATGAAGGCCAGTCCAGTCGACAACCTGCCTATCTGGTATGCTCCATACTCGAACTTTTCCATCATGCGAACCTTTTAATGTGTAATGTGTTTTTATTTATAGAGTCAAATGTAATTTGTTAAACAAGTGATGGCTAAATATGTAATTTGTAGTGTGTTTTACAATTTGTATAAATAACAAATATATGCCCTAACACGTATGTATGAAAAAAGAGATTTGTGATAGAAATCTTGTGAAGTAAGAAATAATCCAGTTGCTTCTCATTTCTTTGTTTTCCCTATGTTTTATATAACTTGAAATTAATTGTAGTAATTTTCCTCTGTAACATAGCCTTGTTTTCGTTGAAGTTCACTAGTTTCATACGAGTGAAATCTGTGCAATATAAATTTTTCCCTTGTTTCATATGTGTGAAACGAGTGCAATTTTACTAAAAATTGTAATCTCAGCCAACAGAACCAAACAGAACCACTGATGATTGTCGTCAAATGGATTGAATTGTATGCAAGTTACTGCATTACAATATAACTGTTATAATGTGGGTGTAACCTGAATTCTTTTTTAAAAATGATTGGGAGTTTTAATCAAAATGCACATTAAGAAAAATTCTGTTTGAAATGCTATTGTGAAATTCTATTCAAATTTGCTTGGTGAATTCTTATTAAAATTCTACTTGGAAGTCCATCAGGAGCAGGAATTTGTGTTTGCTTTGAAAAAGATATTGGGATAAAGTAAATCAAGATTTTTAGAGTAAATGACCCGAGTAGGTGCCATGTAGATTTTGGCGTGCCCCCGGGGCATTGCAATGCTGCGGCACCGCGGGGCCACCTGTTCTGCATCTTTGCGCTATTTTTGTCTCCTACCCCATTTTGGACTCATTTTTTTGCATTCTACTTCAACTACAACGCTACTATAAGGGTTTGGACATCTCCTAGTTGTTCCATATATATATATATTTAGCTTTTCATTGTACTTTAGAATAAATTTGGCAAATCATAAACACAAAATCTTTATATTCTTTCTCCATATTATAATCAAATCTCTATTCTCTATAAAATTACATTGTTTTTGTGTTCTTTTTTTCAATTACTTTATATTCTTGCTTAATATCTTATTTTCTCCAACAAAGTGGTATTGGATTCATTCGATATTTTCTCTACTTTTTACACCAAACTGGTATTAGAGCATTCCAATCCATAACAATTGGTATCAGAACTTCTGATGTTGAAATTTTTAGGAAGATCGAGGTTTTTCGTGATGGTAACAATGAAGTATGATATTTCGCTATTAGATCGCAATACAAGATTCTCTTTGTGACAAGTAAAGATGTAAGTAGTGATCGCTCGAATGGATTTAGATGACGCGATGTTGGGATTTGACAAGATGTCAACAACTTAGACTATGGAGGAGAAACAATGGAAGAATTGAAATGCCCTATCTCAAATATATCTTCATCTTTCAAATAATATTCTTTTGGATGTTTTGAAGGAGAAGTCATCGCTGCATTATGGTTAAAATTGGAGCAATTATGCATGATGAAGAATCTTATTAGCAAATTACTTCTGAAACAACGTCTATATGCTCATTGTATAACAGAAGGTACATCTATTGAGGATCACCTAGTTGATTTTAAAGAATTCATTGCTGATTTGGAGACCTTGGAGGTCAAATGTGAGTATGTGACAAAGTAGATTTGTGATTGATTTTATTTTGTTCATTGCCAACTTTATACATGTATTTTAGAGATATAGTTTTATATAGTCGTGATACTTTCACCATCGAAGAAGTCTATGATACTCTATATTGAAATGATAAGATGAAATATCTTGTAGCATTTGGGGATCATAGATATGGTCTCATCGTTTATTGTGGCCGTTTAAGGGGTAAGTCAAAATCTAATTTCAATTTTTTTTTAATTATTACAAGAAAAATGGCATTTGGTAAACAATTATGCAAAATAAATTAAAGTCAACTGCAAAAATAACCAGAAATTCAGGAGAAGCAAGTATTGTAGAAAATTCTTGTAGTGATGGAAAACTTCTACTTATATCTGACTACAACTCCAAACCTGATGAGACTTGAATTTTGGATATAGCTAACATTTTTCATATGTCATCCAAACGGAAATAATTTTCAACATATGAAGAAGTTTTAAAAGGTGTTGTGATGACTGATAATATAACATACCTTGTTGGATACTTGGTATTGGTCGAGACAGAATAAAGATGTTTGATGGGATAGTTAGAACACTTGATGCAGTGAGACACGTTCTAGATTTGAAAAAAAAATCTTATCTCTTTAAGTAGTTTTAATTCAAAAGGGTACACGTACACTATTGAAGGTGGAATTATGAAAGCTATCAAAGGAGCCCGTGTTGTGTTGATGGGACATAGAAAATCCTATTTATATATCTTGCAGGATAATACAGAATCTTCGAGTAATGAGCACATTTTAAGAATTCAGGTGGATTTAGAGTTGGTTTTCCTTTTGAAGTCTGATTTGGGGTCTTCTTTTAAGAATACATCTCAGTTGAATTTTGAAGATTTAAGTAAATCCATTTTACCACCATTATCGACAGTGTCATCTTATTCAATTGCTATAAATAAACCTATTTTTTGTCATAAGATTCTAAATATGTGCAATTCTATTGATTTTGTTGATGATTTAAATGCAGTTAAGTGTGTTTATTCTAGCCAGGATCCTTCTTTTTGATGCACTCAGTTGTGGTTCTCTTACATGGCTTGTTTCAGTCTTATTTGATGGTCATGTGATCACTTTTGCCCCTAGTTGGGATAGCAGTGGTGGAGATTTTTTTCAGTTGGAATTGTTGATGGAAATGTTCGTTTATGTTTTTTCATTGAAGAGTTCAAGTTTATTTCTTATAGTGAATTTCTCTCAAGATGAAGAATTTTTTTTTGAAATTTTGTTTATTGTAGTGGAATTTGTGTCAAGATGAAGATTATTAAAATTTGGGTGTAACCCGAATTTTTTGTTAAAGATAATTAAGAGTTCTAATTAAAGTGTTCATAATTATATTTGGAATATTATTGTGAAATCTTATTCAAAGTTAGTTGGTGAATTCTAATTGAAGTTCTATTTGGAAACCAATTGAGAGAAGGAATTTGTGTTTGACTTGAAGAGGACATTGAAATGAAGAAAATCAAGATTTTTGGAGTAAATGACTCGAGAGTGGGTGCCGTAACTCCACGACGGTGTGCTGCGGTGCCACCTGTTTTACCTCCCTGAGCCATTTTTGACTCCTCTTCGTTTTAAATTTCGTTTTTTTGCATTCTATTTCAAATTCAACTATACTATAAGAGTTTGAGCATTCCCTATTTGTTCTTTATATATATTTAGCTTTTCATTGTATTTGAGAAGAAGTTAGATAAATTATAAACACAAAATCTTTATATTATTTCTCCATATTATAATAAAATTTCCGTTCTCCGCAAAATTACATTGCTCTTGTTTTCTTGTGATCAAATAATTCATATTGTGGCTTAATCTCTTATTTTCTCCAACAAAGTGGTATTCGATTAATGTTTTCACAACAAATTGGTATAAGAACATTCCAGTTCATGACAATAACCATAACCATCATAAGTATTATTCTAGTAAATTGAGTTACCATTTATTTTGTGGATTCTCCCCTTTTTTCTCTTCTCTGAAGGCAACGGTGTAATCTCTGCAAGCGAAGTTCGAGAAGAAAATGAACAGCCCACTGGATGATAAGGTGTGCCACTAACTGAACTCAAATCATTGGGCTGTCTAACCTCACATTCCTGCACTTCCAACACACGTATTATCCTGTCTTCACAAGCTCTTGCAAGAAAATGCGTATCCCATCCAAATTTGATAGTCCATACCCATCCCTCTTGAGCTCGAATTTCCTGAGACAAATGCAATGCTGTAAATTCTTTATATAATTTCCCGTGTTGGCGTGTTTCTACCCATTTCTTGTTAACTCTCTGTTCCAATGGTGAAAGCTGCTCTCTTTCTTTGTCTAAAATTAATCCGCTCATGGAATTTGCTACCCCTTTTAAGAAAACAACTCCCCTTCTCCTTCTATTTCTGAGACTCTTTGAAAAATACGAATTCACATCGATTTTCCAGCCATAATCCAAGCGTCTTGTGATATTTGCCCCGTTGCACTAACTCTTTCACTAACGGTGAATACCCAACAGATTTCGAATTCCTCCATTGTAAGTTATTCCACATTCCCTCTTCATTCGACTCTTTTACAACGAATTCCTTTCCAGCATCCAAATTCTTAATCAAGAAGACTGAACCCAACCCAGAATTGGAAAATATCGATTGTATAGCACCGCAACTTGGCATTGCAGATCTATTTCTGGCTTTTTAGGGTGATATTCTGATAGAACTCGCGTATTGACATAAACCTGTTTTTGGTGCCAATTGCCCTGATGATGTTATAGTTAAACGCTGTTTCGATACTGGACCAATTAATTCTTCTTTACGTTGTTTAGTTGTTGCAGAAAAATCTTCTATATCACTATTTGATCTCGACCTGATGAGTAAAATCGGAGTAGTAGGCACAGGTTCGCCTTGTTTAAATTACTCTGATGGTGAAGAATCAGCCTGAAACTCTCTGGAAATTGCTCAGACGAAGTTGGTGTTGAGTAAAATCGGCGTTGTAGGCACAAGTTCGCCTTGTTTTAATTCCTCTGATGGTGAAGAATCAGCCTGAACCTTTCTTGAAATTGCTCAGACGAAGTTGGATATGGCGAGTTTCGCAGTCCTTATTGCTCGCCAAATCCATGACTTCGAGATGACGCTTCCACTGCTCCTTAATATCCCCCGGTTCTGCCGCCTCATCAAGGCTGCGGCTTGGTCTGAAGGAGAGGGAGGAGAAGATAGAAACAAACGATGTCCCATCATCATTGTCGGAGACTGGAACAGTCAGTACTAACGACATTCTTTCATAGGATTCAAAGAATCTGTCATCATCATCGTTTTCTCCGAGACCATCCCAATTCATGGTTAATGTTCTCCGGTCCATTGTAACAAAATTTGAACGAATCAAATCAAGAAAATGTGTAATCTGAATTTGTTTTGGTGAATCTAACGAACTGGCTGGAAAGAGACAAGTGGAAGAGAGGAAAAAGAAGGATATAAACTTACAAATTGTTTTTGAGATGTTCCCCTAATCTTATTTTTATTTTTTTATGTTTTCAAATTAAAATTTCATTGAAATATTAAAATATATTTTTAACAAAATAAGTTAATGCAAAAATAGTTTGTAAAAATAGAATATTTTAGTCTCTACTCAGTCCATTGCCTTCCCTATTCATTAGCGCTCTTTATCAAATTTAACAAATTTTGTCCATAAAAAGTTCGATTGTTCATTCAATCTAGCGAGTAAAAACTCTCGATTCTATTCAAAATAATAGAAACCTATAAAGACTAATGAAACAAAACTTAAAATCTAGTGATTGATTTGGAACAAATACAAGTTTAGTGATCATCATAAAACAAATGTTGAAGTTGAATGACTAATTTAGAACAAATTAAAGTTCAGCGACCAATTGAGTTTTTTAACCCCAAATTCTGCTAACAATCTTCCTGTCTAAACTTCAGCCTTTTTTCCCTTCCATTTGACTCGGCTGATTTTCAAATTCACCCTCTTGAAAATATTAAAGAAACACAAAAATTCTAAAATTAAAGAAAAATCAAAAGCTAGAAAAGAGAGTGAAAAATTATTACTTTCTCTCACAACAAACCTCAAGTATGCTCTACAATTAGGCCATGTTTGATTGCACTTCAATTCTATGGAAGATGTAAATTAAATTCCATTTTTTATCTTTTTGCACGTTTGATTGCTTAAATTTTTCATGGAATTTGTTTTCCATCTTTCACCTACATGCTCACACACAGCTTTTCTAGACAACTTTTTTTATTTATTTATTTTTTTAAATTTTTTTGACAATTGAAATAAATTCTATCCTCAATTGTAACAAATTTTATCCATTTAATGGACAATTTATATGTAAAATAAAGTCAAACGAATACCAAAAGATTCAAAATTTCAATATTTTTCAGGTGAAAAATTATATCAATCAAATACAATTAATTAACAATTATCAGTTAAATGAATTCTAGACAATTCAATTCTCTAGAATTCATTTTCTTTCCACCCAAATTTCATATTCAAAATTTCAATATTTTCCAAACGAAAAATTATACATATCAAACACAATTCATTGACAATTCACAGTAAAACAAATTCTAGGCAATTCAATTCCTGTAATTCATTATCTTTCCACCCAAATTTCATTCTTGCAATCAAACAGACCCTTAGAGTTATTTTCTGTTCTTTTTTTCCTTTCTTTCTAATTCGTATTCTATGAACCATTGAAGAGAAATTTCAGTGTTTTCATTGAACTGCAGTTCAAACTTAAACGGCTAAAAGTAAGAGATCAATTCTGGGCTCCCCTTTGACGAATCCACCCAGTTACATGTTCTCCACTGTGTTCATTGCCAGAAATTTTTGATTTCCCATCATTAAATCCATTTCAAAAAGTGGGTAATGAAGCCCAAAAAAAGAAAACGCATGCAGGTTAAAAGGATAAATGAATCATAACCTAGCTTCTTAATCTTGAGGGTTTCGTTATTCTGTATAGTTGGATCGAAATTTGAATCTGAATAAAGGATAGAAATCCACAAATCATGGAAGCGTTTTACTCTAAATTTTAGCTGCCAAATTAACAATTAAATGATTCATGAAATTTGATGAAACCACAGAATTATTCCCAAATAAACACTTTTTTGTTAAATTTAGAATTGAATTCCAGCAAGAGTACTGAGACTGAGTATACACAAAATTTCTGCTCTTCAAATTCTTCAATTGAAACCAATGAAGAAAATTTAAAATACCCTTGTAGTATTTCAGATTATATTCTTTCTTTTGACAACATAAGTAAAACCTTGATGTTAGAATCAATCTCTTTATTTCTTGCCAGTACAGTGCTTTGCTCTTCCAATGTTTATGTCTGGTATGCATTTGCTACTTTTTTTTTTTAAACTACAATAATAGACCAATACCCACTTCAAGCTGAAAAATTCCTTACCGCGTAGAGATAGGTGATCAAAAGTTATTCTTTATCTTCATCATCATCTCTTCTAGGTTTCTTCAATTTAAGGTCTTCGGATATCGGAGAAAATATCGATTCCACCTCGGCATCTGATACATCAAATCTTGGAGGCGATGCTTTTCTCTTCAGCGATGGTTCTGGCAGGATTTTCTTGGGGGCTGGTGGGCACTGTGTCATCGCTGGGATTTTGTGGTCTAAAGATGTCGGAGTTTTGAACCCATCATCGTCTTCAGCTACCTTGGATTCTCCTAAACTTAGAATTTTGGATTCTTCTTCTTCTTTATGATCGGTCTCATCTTCTGGTTTTTTTCCTGCATCTTCTTGTTGACAAGAATCAATATTTTCCAACTGGGATTGTGACGAATTATTCTCTTTTTTGATCTCTTTTTCTTCTTCTTGATCTTCTTTGATGGGATTGTTCTTGTTCGACATCCTTAAACTGATAAATTGTAAGAACATGAAGAGAACAGTCAAATACTCTTTTTCTCTCTCATTCTTGAGACAACCATATTTGTACGGTTTGCCATTAGTTTTTGTATTCTGATCTCTACGCACTTTGATGCAGCCTATGCACATGATTTTCTATATGGGTCCATGTTTTAAGTTGTCACCCTTGCATTTTCTCACGATATCTCCTCAACTAATTTCTCATATGCTTAATTTATGCAGGAAGCCACTACATTATCTTTCAAAATAAAATAAAAATGAAATAACATTCTATCATTTTCACTTGATTATTATTATTATTTTTTTTTTCTTACAAAATTGTTTGGGGAGTATTAATTACTAAGTTTACTTAAGAGAATATGTCCAAACTACGCAAGTTATTCATTCATAGTCATTACGCATTTGGAACATGACATTCCAATAAGCACCAGTTTCGTAAAGATTAAATCTAAATCAAAATTAACAATTAATATTAACTACATAATTAATGAGACGCGCAACTTTTCAATCACACATTTTATTAAAATCTACTAAAAAATTGATTTTAATCCCCATTAAACATGAACCGAATACATATTTTTTTAAAATTCTTTTGATCAAGAATTATTGAGAGCGAAACAAGGTTGTTGCCCTTTAACCAAAGAGTACAAGAATAACAATTCACTGGCTATTCCGATCGTTCTCACTATGAACGAGTCCTGCTTGGTGTGCAGGAAAATTCTGTTTTTTACATGGGATTACTTGTCATTTTTACATTGATTATTTACAAATAAAAATCACTATACAGACGTTGCCAACACAGCACTTGTATGAAATCTGTGAGTTATTCCCCCTGTACAAAGGGAATAAGCGGGAATAACTCCACTATGAACATATTGAGTAATTCATTTCTATCAAGAACTATTAAGAACGAAACAAGGTTGTTGTCATTGACATTTACCAAAAGAGAACAAGAATGGCAATCTTCTTATTGTAGTACTACTGTTCTTGATTATTCTGATCGATCTAATTTGATTGTGTTATTGCCGTCTAGTTTATGGAATATAGCTGGTCTAATCATAAGCTGTGATCGACAATTTGAGAAGGATTATTTTTTTATTAGAGGGATGTCTCATGTATGGACAAGCAAATGTTTTTAATGGATATTCCCAAGAAGAATTCATGGGATTGAAGGATTGCAAATTTGAATTTGTCCGAAACACAAATCGGTCGGCTGTGCTGGCAAATGTTACTACTTCACATTACATATTTCGACTAAATCCAAGACCGAAGATAACATGCCATGTGGAACCCCTTTCTTTAATCTCCGTCAACAGCCGTTTTTCGGCTATTTTAGGGATTTGTTTATTTAATTAAACAACACAAATTAATATTAGCAAAATGGTGATTCGAGTCGGGTCTGATCGGGTCATTTTTTGTTGTATTCAATTGCTAATTAGTTCAAGTTATGTTACATAATTACAATTAAGATTGATTTTTATTATTTTTTTTATTTTTTATGACTCAGGTGTCCAAGTTTCGTCCGACTAATCCTGAGGAGTGGCGGCCTCCCCCTGGTTCTCCACTCGGGTTAATCCAATTGCGATCACAACTTATATACACTTGTGCCGGACATTAGACGATTCTCCTCCATGTGGACCTCTGTCTTCCAATATAGATGTTGCCTTCCAGCTGTAGCGGGGATTTGAACATTCGATGCTCCGTAGAGAACCCTTCTGCTTTACCACTGTGCCATGCCCGTGGGCACTATGTTGTCTTTATCTATATTCATGATAGAGAGAATTGTACATTGAATAATGCTATTTAGTACCAGTGGTACTAGATCACAAATTTATGTGGCATTATGTGATAGGTTCAATGAAAGATAAAATTATGTGATTCATCTATATATATATATATATATTATTTTTTAAGTACTAACTATTATTGTGATAATAAGACAATGTTGGAAAAAATATGCAAACTGAACTTCAAAAACTTTATCTTGAAACATGATGCTACAATTCATGGGCAACAATACTTAAAAATTCTGTTCTTTTGAAGGGAAAACTCAAAACAACTTATTTAGTTGGTGCAAGCTAGTGAACTCCTCTTTCATTAGGTGGGGTGGGAGGGAGGGGGGCCACAGCTAAGCTAATGGTCCAACCTCCATTTATTTGGCCCCTACCAACTATTTCAAATGTAGAGAAACCCTAGAGTAATATTGAACTTTGACCTTGAAAATTTGAAGCATCTTTTCAAGAAACCACATGGTGGTTACTGACCTAGCTACGATTCCCAGCTGAAAATGGAACCATATATTTTTTTTTAAACCCTTTTTTGGTAAACTTGTTAAGATACATGAGCATGCATAATCACACTCCATGTTAACATAGCACAAGGGAGAAAACAGATTGAATAATGCTCAAAAAAGGTAGGGTGCAAGAAAGGATAGGGAAAAGATGCACTTTGTTGTAATTGGGAAAGTAAAAGCGATCAAAGCACTTAAACATAAGCTTTATACTGTTAATACTTTTGATAGACCGATAAAACATAAGCCTAATTCTTTTTTGTTCATTTAAAAAAATAAAAAGCAAAATCTACCACAAACTTTGGCAAAGACCATGGCCTCTCTTTGTGTATCCCAATGGCTCGAGTGTTTAAGTTGTAATCCCAATGCCCTCTATAAAAGTGGCTCATGCATTACCCTCCTTTGCAACCTCGCATCCAATTGTACGCTCCTTTATTATATTGTATATAAATCGTAACTAAAATCGCATCAATATCCTTTTTCACAATTGGAGTGTTTATTCTAACTCTTCGGGAATATTTATCTTGAAAATGGCATCATTGTTTTTTTTAACCCGATAGACAAATGAATTCCTAGAGCGTTTGAAAAAAATAGTGTCTCAGGGCTCTTGTCGGACATCAAACCACTGCCTATCTAATTTCGAGAGACGATGACCCAAATTTATGAGCGGTGGATAAGTGGTCAAATACGCTCATCCCTTCGAGAACTATTTTATAGCCACCCTAGTGTCATTTTGTAATCAAAAGTCAACAAATGTTTAATAAATAGATATATAATTTAGAAAAGAACAGACAGTGAAAGAAAAACTTTCAGGTAAAAATTAATTACTGTAATCAATGATAAATTGGTTTAGGCCATCGTATCACTATTCTCGCGTATCGTGATACAAGAATTCACGAGATGAAACGGTATAAAGTCCGTGTGCAAGCACCCCGGTAATCGGAGGAGGAATGCAAGAGTCGTGAAATGCTAGAAAGGTATTAATTACACGCAATTAAAGGTTTAGTTAATGAGATTAGCCCAATGGGTCCCACTTCTCACAATCATCTTGCCGGTTTAATCCTTTACCTTTTCACCCCATGTCAGCTTGGTTAAATTCTCGATTTTATACCTTTCTAATTTTCAATAGATTTTGATAAAAAAATAAATAATGAAATGTGTCATTAGTAACAGTTGTGCATCTTATGAAATATGTTATCGGAATAAGTTTGAAAAATGAGGTTTAAAATTGGCGGCTAAATATGGGCTTAGTAAGGGACAGTGTGCATTATTCGATATTAACTAATTGGGATGATTGGACACGATGTTACTGTTAAAGTCAACGAACAAGAAAAAAAAAAGGTTAGGGTTTCTTGATTAATTGCTTAATGAAAATGCAAGAAAAATTAATTTTAAATAGTTTTGTTGATAAACAAGCAAAAAGACTAATATACTCTTAAGATAAACAATTAATATATTTAACAGTTGTTACAGTGGCGTGCACAAATTAAATGATGGTATCTAAATAAATTTTAGGGATAATTACAGCAGTGGTCCCTAAGCTTTCAAATTTTTGCAGACTTTACCCTAACCTTCATTTTGTGCCAACCACAGTCCCAAGCATTTCAAATATTCGCACCTGAGATCCAAATGGATGGAAACCATCCATCTTGCCGTTTGACCAAAAAATTCAAAATTTGACCAAATGAAAAAGGGCAGAATGGTACTTTACATTTTTCCACATTAAATAATTAAATAAGAAATTGAAAAAATCATTGTCTTCCACAATTATCTTCTTCCACATTCCCATCCTGCAACTTCCGGCCACCAAGACTGTCGGATATTGGTGCCATTACGAAGCCCTACATCCCCTCTTCAATTACCACAAAACACCCATCCATTACAACTCCAGAATCAGAAGAAATCAGCACTCAAACTTCGCTGCATGAAACTGTCCAAAACTGTCGGAATCCCACATTCCGCAACATGATTGTACACCACCACCGACCGGTTACCTATGGCCAGACGACTCCAGTCATGTTCCCAATTTATGCCAAAAGCCTCACAGCATATCGAATTTGGTTCAAAAGTTACGCCAATCGCGACTGTCGAGCAGAATAGTCTGAACAATGACGATTCCAATTCTGTCCGGCCAACCCATGGTCGTGGACCACCTGGAGAACCTTCTCTACCTCGGCGCATCCAGCCCACCCATGGGTCAAGCTCAATTGTAGCCCAAACTCACTGGATTTATGGATGAAGTTCGGCGCTATGCGAAAAATTCATCTCGTTGTCCGCCTCAATCATTGCCGCTCTTTCCAAAATTGAATCCAAAATTAGAAATTTGAAAGAGAAGCAGTCAAAAATTGCTTCCTCGATCGAACGTCGATGAAGAAATTGGAAAGCGAAGACGTCTGGTTGTGGCAGTTCGATGATTTTCTGGTTTTAATTAGGTTAGGTGGGGTGGGGTGGAAAAGAAGGTGGGTTTATATTTAATTATTTCAATTATTTAATGTGAAAAAATGTAAAATACCATTATGTCCTCTTTCATTTGGTCAAAATTGATCAAATTTTGAATTTTTTAGTCAACTAACGGCAAGATGGATGGTTTCCATCCATTTGGACCCCAGGTGCGAATTTTTGAAAGATTTGGAACTGTGGCTGGTATAAAGTGAAGGTTATGGTAAAGTTGAAATGTTAGGGACTACTGCTGCAATTATCCCTAAATTTTATACTCAAATTGAATGATTTTNAACCGCGGCCCGTGGGGGTGCAACCCGCGAAACCCGCGGGTTACACCTCCTTGGCCCGTGAACCGCCCGCACGGGTCACGGGTCGGCCCGCGATCCTGGTTTTCACGGGCCGATTTTTACGGGTCATGGCCGGCCCGTCCGTCTTAACACCTCTAATAGGACACGAGGTTACTGTTAAAGTCAACAAACAAGAAAAAAAGGTTAGGGTTTCTTGATTAATTGCTTAATGAAAATGCAAGAAAAATTAATTTTAAATAGTTTTGTTGATAAACAAGTAAAAAGACTAATATACTCTTAAGATAAACAATTAATATATTTAATAGTTGTTACAGTGGCGTGCACAAATTAAATGATGGTATCTAAATAAATTTTAGGGATAATTACAGCAGTGGTCCCTAAGCTTTCAAATTTTTGCAAACTTTACCATAACCTTCATTTTGTGCCAGCCACAATCCCAGACATTTCAAAAATTCTCACATGAGATCCAAATGGATAGAAACCATCCATCCTGCCACTAGTTGACCAAAAAATTCAAAATTTGACCAAATGAAAAAGGGCAGAATGATATAAATGTAAAAAGGTGTAATTTATTAATTTTATTAATTTATTCTTTAACTTTTTTATCATTGTCTTCCACAATTATCTTCTTCCACATTCCCGTCCTGCAACTTCCGGCCACCAAGACTGCCGGATATTGGTGCCATTACAAAGCCCTACATTCCTTCTTCAATTACCACCAAACACCCATCCATTACAACTCCAGAATCAGAAGAAACTAGCAGTCAAACTTCGCTGCATGAAATTGTCCAAAATTGTCGGAATCCCACATTCCGGCAAGCAACGTGATCGTAGGCCACCACTGATCGGTTACCTATGGCCAGACGACTCCAACCATGTTCCCAATTTATGCCAAAAAGCCTCACAGCATATCGAATTTGGTTCAGAAGTTACACCAATCATAACGTCGCGCAGAATAGTCTGAACAATGACGATTCCAATTCTGTCCGGCCAACCCATGGTCGTGGACCATCTGGGGAACCTTCCTCTACCTCTGGCGCACCCAGCCCACCCATGTGTCAAGCACAATTGCAGCCCAAACTCACTGAATTTATGGATGAAGTTCAGGCGCTATGCGAAAAATTCATCTCGTTGTCCACCTCAATCGTTGCTGCTCTTTCCAAAATTGAACCCAAAATTAGAAATTTGAGAGGGAAGCAGTCAAAAATTGCTTCCTCGATTGAACGACGATGAAGAAATTGGAAAGCGAAGACGTCTGGATGTGGCAGCTCGACGATTTTCTGGTTTTGATTAGATTATGTGGGATGGGGTGGGGTGTGGTGGGGTGGGGTGGAAAAGAAGGTGGGTTTATATTTAATTATTTCAATTATTTAATGTGAAAAATGTAAAATACATTATGTCCTTTTTCATTTGGTCAAAATTGATCAAATTTTGAATTTTTTAGTCAACTAACGGCAAGATGGATGGTTTCCATCCATGTGGACCCCATGTGCGAATTTTTGAAAGATTTGGAACTGTGGTTGGCACAAAGTGAAGGTTATGGTAAAGTTCGTAAAAAGTTGAAAGGTTAGGAACTGCTGCTGCAATTATCCCTAAATTTTATACTCGGATTGAATGATTTTGTAGTCCATGACTCTCTAAGCGTGTGTTTGGGTATAAGAAACTTATAATGCAAAAAGTAGTGAATGTCAAGAAATGTGTAGATAATAAACTGAAAGTATTACGAATGTGTCTCTGAAATTAAAACTTCATTCTCACTTAAAATTAAAAATTACTAATAAGTTTATCCAAACATAAGCTATACATAGAAGAGAAAGAATACTTTAACTTGCTTGCCAAGCCATCTCAAATCTCAAAGTCGACCCTTCACTCGTTGAACAACCCCATATATTAGGAAAGCGTACATAACAAGCTACTATTAGTTTCAACAAGCCATCTCAAAAACTAATTGCGTGCTAGCTCTTCATTATAAATTGTTAAAATTATAGTGTAGCGTAAAGACAAACAAGTCTATCTCATGTATTTTGAAAAATCCCTATGGAGTCTATAATTTTATGTTCGTTATTTTTGTCCTATGAGCCAAGGTGCCACATCATTTTGGATGTAACACTTGAATAAAAAATAAAATAATAATTCAAATTTGACATTTGGATATATTATGCAATGATTTGTCACTAATTGCTCCCTCCTAAATTAAGCTATGATTAGCGTTTTAAAACTTGATTAATACAGTTCATTACGTTAACCCTAAGTCTAGAGAGAGAGAGAGAGAGGAAAAATATTATTGTTACGTAGGTATTAGCAGCAATAACAAAGTATATAGTATAATATGGAAACTTAATATTAGTTATATCTCTTCTATATATAAAGTGGCTATGAAACGAAATTTGTTATTTTAACGGAAAATTTAACAGAATTTGTTGTTTTAACGGAAAATCTAACGGAAGTTATTGTTTCCGTTAAATAGCAATTAAGTCTTGACCCATTCCTTTCATATTCCTTGCTATTTGACTGGATTTGGCTCCTAAATTGCTCGATT